GGTGCATAGAAAATGATGTAAAGTTTGAAAAATACTCTTTCTTTTAGATGAGGAGTATCAATCATAATGATGATAAATTGGAGATCTGGAATGTTAACGTCTAGAATGGAGTCCCAATATTCAAAGATTTTAATTACATGAAATGATGTAGGGAATATTAATAATATGCCACCACCTCTTTGATTTTGATGGGCAAGGGGAAAACATTGAAAACCCATTTGGTTAATAAAATTGGTAATGTCAAATGACTCATGAGATATCCAGCTTTCAACAAAGATTTAAAAATCAAAATCATTAAGAATACTTGGCAAAGTTAAAAGCTTATTATTTATCGATCTGACATTCTGCAGTAAAATTTTAAATGAGTTATTAGAGAAATATATAATATTGTATAAGTTATCAGAAATAATTCTGAACTCAAAAATCAAAGGTTAATGTGACAAAACAATGACAGACATGACAAATACAAAAAACAACAGCAACCCAGATGGTGCACTTTATATTATATATATATATAATTAAATCCATTTCTTTTTTTTTAATACATAAAGCTTCAATAAGTGATCTAAACACATTTTTATATTTTTATAATTCTTAATGTGTATGTTGGTCAATATTACAATTGCTGCGTGTACAAGTAAATGGCAGAACTATTGAACTATTGCATTTTAACCTCACTGATACATTAGATTCTCTTAATGTTACATATAATTGTTTATCAGTCTCCCCAAATAAGTGAACCTATCTTTAATTTTGTCATACACTAATTTATACACAAGCAGGTGTAATTTATATTGTGAGTGGAAATAAAATTGTTAAATCAATCTTTTAATTAAAACTGTAAATTTTGAAATTAATTTCTGGAACAGTTTTAATATCAAACTGTTTAAATTGAGTTTCTTGAATTTGTCAATTTCTCTATCTGACAAATTTTTCTCCATTGAATTTGTCAACAGAGAAAAATTTGTCAAACTACATCTGGCTTCCTTCCATTCAACATAAAAACTTTGAATGTAGGAAAGCTGGATGTATTTTGATAAATTTTTGTGTGTTGTCTAATTTGTATAGTTATCCTCCATTTCACTCCATAATTATCTTTATCGCTAACACTTTGTACAATGTGCCCTTAAATCAAATGTAGTTTTTTGTTTCATTTTCTATAGTACTCCAACACTTTTCATATCAAACATTGGTAGATTGACTAGCATTTCTCCCTTGTCATCCTTCCATAACACATTAAGAAACTGACAAATTTGAAGAAAAGACTAATAGAAGCAGAATGAATCAAATGTGTTGTGTTTGAAAGATTTTGCAAAAGTGTGGTTGAGAAGATTAAATATCATAATCAATAATGTTGCTGCTTAGCTTGCAATAGTTGCAATTTTTTTACTCCTCCTCCAGACCATATCTTTGCTTCTAGATTTCTCTAATCAATTCATTAATTTCTAATTATTAAATTTAGTACAAAATGGTACTAGAATTTGGATACTTAATGTAATTTGACACTAGAGGTTTAAAGCTTCTGTTGTCAAATTATGTTATCAAGTAAAAAAGTCATATAATTTCAGGAACTTTGGATCTCTCTAAATTCTGTTCTTATCACACATTATTTTACAAACCATTTATTATTTGACTGTCTATTGTAAAATATGTAACAATTTTTTAATAGCTATTGGTCCTAAATGGACAGACTCTGGTCTTGAGTGTCCACTAAATCCAGCATCTACTGTATACATGCACTAGAAGCTGGATTTTGCAATCTTGAGTAAAACTAAATAAAACTAACAAGTACTGTAAGTTGTGTGTTTTGTTTAAGAGGAATAAACTTTAAGCAAAAAATTTTTAAAATTTATTTTTACATTTATTGTAAAATAACTTTTTGAACTTTTTATGAATACATTACAGAAATTCATTTTCCTGGAAAATTGTCTAAAGTCAAATTAAATATATTCATAATTTTTATCTAAACAAATTGAAATGAACATGGAGGATTGTGGTGTTCACTGATAAGTTTCAATTCTGTCTTGGACAGAATGATGAATGACAATGGATTAGACATCAAGGTTGAAAGGAAAGTTTCTCAGGGCTTGCAGTTTAAAATGCAATCAGATGTATGTGTTGAATTGAGAGCTGATCATTCTGAGGTTTTCTGTCTAATAATACTTAACTGGCATGTTATAACCAGTGACTGTTTCATTTCAAGAGCATGGAGGTGGAAACAAATCTTTTTGTTTTCAAAAAGATAATGTATAACATCCAGTTTTCAATTACTATCTTAAAGACTATGGTCATGGCAAGCTCATTTTCCTGATGTTCTCCTCCCCATTAAATATGCTTTGGTTAAAAGGGTCAGCAATTGTGATATTTGAGCACTTATAACTATGCATTGCTGGTGCAATAACTTATTGAAGCATGGTGCAATTTATTGTTGTATAAGACAAATTAATGTGACAAATTAATGTGACATCTTTAAATTTGTATAAGACAAATTAATGTGACATCTTTAAAATTAATGTGACAACAAAAATGTCTGCAGAATAAATTTGTTTCAATAATATAAATAACCAATTTGACAATGAAAAATTCTGCCTCTGCCATTACGTTTTGAATCTATAATCAAAGCGTGACAAAACTTACATTTCAATCTCCAACAGATTGTGGCAAAAACATCTCAAGCCTAAGTACCATCATATAGATTGACATTTCATGCAATGAATCAGATGAAACTGTAGGCTTGAAGGGAAATAGCATTTTTAATTTTTGGAGCTATGGTACCACAAGGAACTAGTTCATGATAGACATAAAAAGTAGCTGGTAATGAATTGACTGTACACTTGGCCAGTTTAATGGCAGCATATTTTAATCCTCTGGCACTCTGGTTTGATAATTCCCTGCATAACACGAGGAAATGCAAAAATTTTAACTTTAATGGCCACTTCTGTACCTGTGGAAAAACATTATCCACTGTTGAAAATAGTTATAAAGACCAATAGGCTATTAGAAAAACAATTTTTTTCAATGACAATATCAAGAGCTGGTCTTAATTTTATTAAAATTTCTGTTTATTATTTCAATTAGTTTTTTTTTTAATTATTACTGCAAGATTTATTAAATTCATATTTAATTCTAGTTTTCTTTGCGAACAAAAAATGTAAACAGAGTTGATTCTTTCCATCTCACCCTGGAATAGATTCCTTTCTTGCAATTCTTTTTTACATAGTTGAATTGATTCTTTTACAGAATTGTAACATTCTTGGCTATATGATAACATGTCATTATTATATTAAAGCATTTGTTGTTGCACAAGAAGGGTTGATGATTACTTCATTCCCTAAGTGGCACTCAAACTTTGGTATTTTGTTTTTTTTTTCTTTTGAAATTTATTTTAATGAAGGCATTTAATTTATCAAGCTAATTTTCTTCTTTATTTTTTAATGAATAAGAATAAAAGCTCTCTCTTTAAATAATAAATTAAAGATTATGATGATGATTGGCTTACATTTGAAACCTATGAATGAACAAATCATATTACAACTAATACTGGTATAATTAACATTTAATAAAACTAGTAAATAGCTAGGACAATTATATTTAAAATTTACAAGAAGTTCACAAAAGAAAACAGGGCTTCATCTTCATTCATTCCATGTCCTTTACAATAAAAAGTTAACTCCACTGTAAGACTGGTTGTTGGTGGTTGTAGAGGTGTGAGAATGTTGTAGGATGAAGAAAGAAGTCCTTTGTTTCCTTCTGTTAACTTCCTGTAAAAATTTTAAAACTAATACAATGTCCTGATGCTAATTTTATAATGCCAAAATATTGAGAAATGAATAATAGCTAAAGCAGTGAACACTATATAATTAAACATAGATAACAAAGAATTGTCTTTGAAATAAATTTAAGATAGATCAAATTATATGGGTAAGAAACATAAGAGATATTGACATTAAAACACATTAACAAAAAATTATACCATTAAGTGAACTATTTTTATTTTAATTCACTATTTGAGAATAATGATTGAATTTTTATGATCTGAAAAAGAGAAGACAGGCAAATACATTTCAAAATTCACTAGGAAAATAAATAAATACAGTAGAGCCTCGATTATCCGACCCCCGATTAACCGACCGTCCTAGTCGGCAAATTTCAAATGTCCACTAGTGATGTGACGTTACAATATTTGGCTATGTCTTGGCTACTTTAATATTATTTTTACGTGTTTTAGCTGACAACAATAGTTTAAATACTGGCTCAACCATGAAAGGAAGCCAGTATTTAAACGAGGCTTAATTTTCTAATTTTTAATGATACAATAGCGACGAGTATTATTTTAAAAAATTTTTGTTAAGCTTAACATTGATGAAAATTCAATGCGAAGTAGATTAATAACAATATACTAATTACATGGGATATAATAATACACTACACTAATAATGGATTTTTTTCATACTTTTCGGTTATCCGACTTTTCAATTATCCGACCAACCCCAATTGAGTCGGATAATCGAGGTTCTACTGTATATTCTTTTTCCTTCATAATTTGACTTTTCACACACTTCAGAAACATAAGAAAATTACATGCTGGAATTAATCTTTATTTGGAAGATCTCTCTCCTCTTCAATATATAAAATCTCAATGTTAAAATTACATTAAATTTTTTTTATCCTAGTGGATTTTTAATTATATATTTATCCTGATATTGCTAAATGTAAATACATGATACTGTTGAATCATCAACAATATCATATATTCACATTTATTATAATTTTTATTATCTAATTGTAGCAGAAAAATCTTTGTTTTTATTCTTCATTGTTTTTTAAATACCAATATCAGGGTTTTGTTTTGCCCATCTGCATAATTAATCTTATAATTTCTGTGTATAATTTTTTTTAACTCCATGGATTTGTTAATAATAGAGGTAAAAAATATTTAGTAAGTTAGTTATTCTACATAAATTTTAAATTTTGAAAGTTTTCAAGAAATTTATAAATGTTTATATAATTTTATATTTAGATTACGAAAAAACTTGAAAGGCTTATACCTAGTACACCCAACATTCTGGCTGAAAACCATTGTTATCATGACCAGGCCATTTGTCAGGTAGAATTTTTTCTTCCTATTTATTATGTTTAGTGATTATTTTGATACATTAGTTTGTTTTAATTTTAGCACAAAATTTAGTCGTAAGCTTCAGTTTGTAAGCACACTACAAGAATTATCTAATTTGATTCCAATGGACCACATTTGCATTCCAGATAAAGTTAAACAGTAAGAATATTTATTATATTAATCAGAATATCTAAATTACATTAATCTTTTTTTCTTAATACTTTATACTAATGTGCTAACAAATATTACTCTCTATTTTTTCTTAACTATCATATAACCTTATCAATTTCTTGAACTCTTCAAGATTTGATGTGGAAAATATCCTTCTAGAAGCTTAGATTTAGAAGATAGTAATTGTAGAAAGGTAATATTAACATACCTGTCTATAATACTTACTTACAGCTTTCTTTCCCAATTCAGATTTTTAATTTAAGTTAATTAATCTAAAAATTCAAAAAAAAAATTTTTCCATAGGATAGAATTCCAATGTATTATTAAGATGAAAAAGAAGTCCATGAAAAACAGTTCAAAGTTACAGAGCACTACTTGGTGATTCAAATTTTTGGCCTTAAGCAGACAACCAAAAGGCAGGTTTGCATGTTCATCACTGTCTATAAATGGGAGAAAGTTGTACCAGTTATGTGCCAAATGCACACAAAATGATAATCTATAGTCAAAACCCACATGGAAGATGATCAAACAAAAA